ACTATCCCCATATGTAATTTTCAAAGTCTGTAGGGGGAGGGGAGTAAAAACAACAATTAAAAAAAAAAACTTATATATAGTTCGATGTCAACTAATTTACGCAAAAATGAAAATAACAATGACATATCATTTTAAGAGATACAGATTATTATGCATGATAACGACTACCAGTTGTCAAAATTTCAGTTTTTCACAGTTGTTATTTCTAACAAATATTAGGTTTTAAAATTTTGTCCCTTAGTTTTGGACGCTACTGTATATTTAACATAATAACACAAATTGAAATACTAATGGCAATTTTATTCAATAAATTTGTAATTGTCTTCAACCACGGCCTTCAAGCAACTTCTGAATCTATTGCAACTCTTAAGGGCGGTCTCCTTGTTTAATTTGGTAAATGCTGCCATAATCCTTGCCTTCAGTTCCTTTTAGTGTTAACAAGAGTTTTGTTGGTCTCTCGCGCAAACGCGCCCCACACATAATAGCAAAAGGTGTTGCGATTTGGGGAGTTAGATGCTCAGATATAAGGGGCGATGTGGTCGCAGAAATTATCTGACCGCCATGAGATTTCCTGCTTGTGTGATATAGTGCAGAGTCATGTTGTAAGACATAGGGTCTTCCAGAGACCACTCCCTTGATCCAGGGCAGAACTACATCCTCTAGACATTTAATGTAGGCATCCGTGTTGAATCTGTGTCCCTGTGGGAGGATGAATGCAGGAAAAACGTCGGCATCACTAGTGATCACTCCAAACACCATCTTAATCGCAATTAAACTCATCAAACTCTTTTTGAATCTTCTGCATTGACACCTGAAAAATCTGAAATTTTCGTATCGGAGCTTCTGCCACGTAGTATGGCACGACGTTACCAAATTCCTGGCGAAGTGAATTGCGTTATGGTGATCATTTTCTCACAGGTGTCTAACTGACTCTAATATACTGTGCAGTCGACAGAGCAAAAAGAAACAACGCGCATGCTTTAAATTAAAAATATAATATGTCGACAATTTATCCATCGCACCCTGGCGTTTGTTTACGTTTGTAAAAACAATACGCTAGATTTGGCTGACTCGTTCTGTCGAGTCAAGATGGCTCAGTGGTAGAAGCTCTCACTGACACCAAATCCATTGGGTTTCGATCCGGGTTTGAGCCATTCGGTTGTCTAGTCGCACTGAGGGTCTTTGATACAGCGAAGCAGTTCTGTCTGCGAATGACGCACACGTGTGTGTGTGTATATATACATACTGGATAAACGCGGTTTTTAACATTCGAGAATCTTAATGTCCCAAAATAGTAACAGTTTTTATCGTCTGTCTAAAATATTCAATAACAACAATATTAAATGACACGATACATCCTGAATCACATTGAATGTGGCCAAATGAAGTTTATTCTTCAATTAAGTCTCGCTTACGGTCCACACATGTCTTCTATCGGTGTTGCAGTGATTTGCTCCCAATTCATGAAGAAGATTACATCCTCTTTGCCAAACCTAATTTTCGGGTATTTTTATTGTATTTTTAGTTTTTATTTATTTTTCAATAAAATACCCTAAAATTAGATTATAGTTGTACTGAAAATTTAGAAAAATGTATTAAAAAATAATAAAATTTTAAATAAATACTTAAACTAGAATAAAAAAAATATTGGTTCAGAAATGAGAATAAATAATAGTAATGAAAAATTATGTAACTGTAGGAATCCCCTAAATTGTCCATCGAATAAGTGTCTTACAGAAACTATAGTTTACCAAGGTACTACTTCATCTATTGAAAATCCAGATATGAAGATATTTATATTCGTAGCACTAAAAATCATTTTAAGTTACGATGGTACCAGCACCTGACTTCCTTCAAAAACACTGAATATCGTAACCAAACATCCCTATCTACATATTTTGGCATTTAAACGACACAAATGAAACGCACACAGTAAAATGAAAATTATTTAAAAAACGAGAACTTTTAGGTCTTATATTTTTATAATTAAAACTATGAATATATAAAATATAATTTAATTATATTTGAAGCCCCTTTAAGAAAACCCCAGTGTATTAGGAAAAAAAAACATAAATAAAAATGCCAAAATTAACCCGTGTTTCGATACAATAACCCTTTGTATTTTAATATATCTTATATATGTTCAAATAAGGTAGACAGGATGACACGTCTCATATACGAAACCCCGTATCGGAGAGCAGAAGTCCCATGGCCACATCAAACAGTAAACCTACATTTTCTTAGATTCGACCTATCCCCTGATTCATCAACATAAGCAACACCTATATAAAATTTTAAAATCTCATTCCCCGCTCCAACTTAAAATCTTAAATATAATACTACTTTGCTTAAAAAAGTAAATCATTTTTTCTGAAGTTATTCAACAACGCTTGGAAATGGAACAAAATTTTAATTTTAATCTTTCGTTCCGTAACTTAGAAATTTGTATTGCGATGAAAAGATTTTTAAATAATATATATATATATATATATATATATATATATATATATATATTACATCGAAGCATTGTTCTTATTGCGTTTTATATATATATATATATATATATATATAATAATGTATTATACAATATATATATATATATATAATATTGTATTATACAATATATATATATATATATATATATATATTATAAAATGTATATAATTATACAAATATATTATTATATTATAATTATATATATATATATATATATATATATATATAATCGACTCTCCCGTCGCGTTCGACGTATGAGGTTCAGGCCGATAAGTCCCCAGGAAACCGACATCGGCACATGAGATTTGTTTATAGTGGTGAAGGACTCGTGCAGGACCAGCCACACTTTTTGGAGGGACGAATACAGAAACCTGGTGTACCGAATGCATGCCACAAGGTTCCCAAACGACCCTCCGCAGGTTTTTAATTCAGAGTTGTCCTTCTCCTAGACGAGTTGCCATCCAAGGCTATAGAACACAGTATGTCCTGCTATTTTATGGAGGATACATACCTTTCCCAAGGGTATTAGCACGTAAGTGAATGTAATGGATTCGACTGGAATTCGAACTCGGCTCTGCGATTCCTCAATCCAAGCCGCTATCCACTGCTCCACCGTGCCTCCTATATAATATAATATAATATAATATAATATAATATAATATAATATAATATAATATAATATAATATAAAAAAATAATAAATAAATAAATAATATAATATAATATAATATAATATAATATAATAAAAAAAAAAATCTTAAAATAAATAAAAACTGGTTCATGAAAAATCTAAAAAAGGATAAATGTAAAAATAAGTAGACAAAATATTATTCAATATATATATATATTATTCAATATATATATATATATGCATGTGTGCCTGTGTGTGTATTTAGGCAGAATATCTTTATTCAAACGTGTTTCATTGAATAATATTTTGTCTACTTATTTTTACATTTATCCTTTCCAGTTGTCTAACCAGTTTCTTAATTTTAAGATGAAATTCATCAAGGAAGACGTCATAGTTTTTTTTTTTTTTTTTTTTTTTTTCTTAAGCAAAGTACTTTCGATCTTTTGTAAGATCATCTTCAGTGCTAAATTTCAAAGACAAAATTTGTAACTGCGATAAAATCTGCATTCCGCTGTGTTGGTGATTATAAAAAAAACACCCTCAGTAATAGTTATTTTACGATTTTTAAATTATCCGTTGTAGCTATGGAATTTTCTGCAAAACAAACGTCCCAATATTATATATATATATATATATATATATATATATATATATATATATATATATATATGTGTGTGTGTGTGTGTGTGTGTGTGTGTGTGTGTGTGTGTGTGTGTGGTTGTTTAAATTCAGTTGATTTTTCAATTTTAGGGTAGGTGACAAAAAGCTTTTGAGTAACGAAAATCGTATGAGAAACATTGCGTTATCACCTGATCATCGACATGACCTTTTCGCACACACAGATAGTGATTTGTGGACAAAGAATCAGCCGTTTCTGATATAACAGCAGATTTTGTTACGAAATTTGCCAACTTTTCATATCTCTCTAACATGTACCAGATTTCAATTACTGCTGCTTCATCACACCATAATCAAACTACGCATGCGTGTAGACAAGCATGAACGAAAACCGAAAATAAACACGCGCAAAAAATAATGAACGCGGCTAACAAAATATAAACAAACAGTAACAAATACTGCTACTTCTTTTTTTCTTTCTTTTTGTCGTTTTTATCTCTTCTTTTTCTTCATCAGGTATTAGAGGGGGGGACTAATTTATTGTAATTTATATGCTTCCGAGAGGGTTAGACCTGGTAAACTTGAAGAGCTGTCCGTTTAGTCGGCTAGCCGGACGCATGGATGGCAATAGAAGAAAATATACCATCTCTACAATCGCTTGACGCGCCCAGATGTGATTACACTACATTAGATTGATACGCTCAATGGATCCCTGTGCTTTTAGCGGTGGTTAGTTCGCCTGGGTGACGTCACAGCCTCGTTCCGGGTCATTATGTCTGCTAAGTGTTTCCTAATAAGTTGTGCGTCGCTCGTTGCAAGTAGCAAGCGTTTGTTCTGACGCCATTTTCAAGCAATTACGAAGGCAACCAATCGTTGTAATTGTTGATTACTATACAACTCCGAGCTCCCTTGAGAAACAGTGATCGGACCTTGGTCATTCAGTCTACAAGCGACCTTCCCCCCACCCCTACGCTTGCGTCTATTCTCGAGTTAACCGCTCTTCCCTTTTCTTCTCTGTCACTTCCCTTGAAACAAATCTTTTTAAGGAAATCTTTGTTTTCGCCTACTTTATACCTCTTTTTTTTCTTTATCATTTTTCTTTTTTTTCCTATTCTTCTTTTTCTTTCTTATTATTTTCTAAAAATTATTTTCCTTGTTTTAAATCATTTTCTCACAGTTTGTGTATTTCTAGACTTTATCGTTTTCTTGTTTTTCTTTCTTTCTGTTCGTTTCTTTCTCCCTGTCTTTCTTTCTTTATGTTCGTTTCTTTCTTTCTTTCTTTCTTTCTTTCTTTCTTTCTTTCTTTCTTTCTTTCTTTCTGTCCATTTCTTTCTTTCTTTCTGATCGTTTCTTTCTTTCTTTCTTTCTTTCTTTCTTTCTTTCTTTTTTCTTTCTTTCTTTCTTGCTTTCTTTCTTTCTTCCTGTCCATTTCTTTCTTTCTTTCTGATCGTTTCTTTCTTGTTTGTTTCTTTCTTGTCGTTTCTTTCTTTCTTTCTTTCTTTCTTTCTTTCTTTTCTTTCTTTCTTTCTTTCTTTCGTTTTTTTTTATTTATTTATCTCTGTTCGTTTTTTCTTTCCTTCTTTCTTTCTTTCTTTCTTTCTGTACGTTTCTTTCTTTCTTTTTTTTATCCTCCTCGTTTCTTTATTTCCTTCTTTCTTTCTTCCTTATATTCCTTTTTTACGTTTTTACATATTTCTTTTGTTCATTTCATTTTTCGTTCTTTTCTATTTTCTTCTTCAGATTTCTTCTTTTATATTGTGCTTCTTTCTTTATTTCCATTACGCCTTTTTTATTACTTCTTTCTTTCTCTCTTTCTTTCATCCCTTCCTTTATTCATTCTTTCTTTCTTTGCATTTCTTATTTCGTTTTACTATATATGTATTTTTTAAGTTTCTTCTTTAGTTTTACTACGTATTTCTTTCTTTCTTTCTTTCTTTCTTTCTTTCTTTCTTTCTTTCTTTCGTTCGTTCGTTCGTTCTTTCTTTCTTTTTCTTCCTTCGTTCCTTCCTTCCATCCATTTCTTCTTTTGTTTTAATACCTCTTTCTTTCTTTTTTCTTTTATTTTTCAATTTTTTTCTTCCCACCCTAATGCTCCGCTCCCACCTTTTTCATTTTTCAATATCTTTTCTTACTTCCCCAATTCTCCGTTTCTTTCTACCACAACCTCTTTCCTTTTCCTTGCTTCCTTTCCTTCGTTTCATGTCGATCATCTACTGCCCCATCTCTTCAGATGTCCATTTGGCATGAACCAACCAAGCGTTTCCGGACGCCAATGAGCATGACGCAAATTGTGCCTTGTCACTTCCTTTGGCGGTTTTTCTTTGCTCTTTCGCTGCCTCTGAGTAATGTACGGAAGACCGATCATGCCAGAAAGATCAACACGGCTACTCCGGCTTCTATATCAAAAAAAAAAAAAAAAAAAAAACTAGCCGTATCATCTAAACTCAAATTTGAATAAATTAAAGCAGGCAAGGATCATTTGTGGCTTCGTTAAATCAGGGGTTAAAATCGAATAGGAATAATATTTTATTTTCTTGTAAGTCTTTTTTGTTAAATGTCTCTATAAGTATTTGTTTATCAAATAACGTTATGTTAAATTCTAAATTAATATAAACTGATTATATCTTTCGGAAGTGTCATTAACATAGTCATCCTTGTTTAGACAACTAAACTTTACTTTCGCATACGTGCTGTTATACCCGATGAAGGCTAAGAAATGGATCGGTCGAAATGTTATCTGAACAAGCATCACCATCATTATCATCATCACAACCAGCAATGGCACCACCACTATTAGTCCCTGGATTTTACATGTTTTACGGTATTCTGCACTTAGTTACTATTGGTGTCTGCACATTTTTTATGCTTTCGTCAATTCATGTAAAATTTGACTATTTAAAAATGTGGTACTAGGGCAGGCTGATTTTTATTCTCTTTTCGAAATCAACATTGCACTCTGCGCAACAGTTGGGGGTTTGATATTATAAATATTGAGATAAAAAAGTTAGATTCATAGCCTTTAGCCGTTTTTGAGCATTTAGTTGTAACGATCGACTGAAAAAAATTACGGAAATATTTAATTTCTGGCGCTTTTTGCTGGATTCAGAATTTTACTATTTCAAGACTGAATCCAAATAAAGTTGATATTTTTGTATTAAATACATTGAATAGAAAATATATTCAAACCAAAATTTTAATTATGAAACAGACCAAGCAAAATATGCAGTTTTTTTACAGTATTCGACAAGTAAAACCTATATAAAAAATGTAAAAAAATTGCGAAAATGGTTACACAATGACAAAGACGAAATGCTTTAAATTTGCATTGTTTATTAAAAATCACACTAAATTACAACACTGTATAATATAGCAAAATCGTTCAATGTAATTTCCCTTTGAAGCAAATGAAGGTCTTCTTTGATGGCAAAATTATTTAGTAATAATGTGCTTGTGCCATGCATCTTGTCCGTATAAAATTTGCAAAGCTTCAGCAAATTATAAATTTTATAAAGCTGTGCTATAAGTCTTTTAATGACCACCGGAATTAAATTCAAAAGTGACGAAATCATTTCCTCAAAAAACGGTAACGATTTGGAAAATTACATTTGTCTTCATGTCAAACTCCAGCTTTCAAATGAAGTGCAATATCACGCTTCCAAAATCGACCTGCCCAAATGTATTGAAGATTTTTGCAGTAGCCTGTAAGTAACAACAAATCTACTCAGTATATTAACATCCTTTTATGTATACTAGAAATATTAAAAAAATACGGTCACACAGATGTTCCAGATTCATCTTCTAATTTCTAGGCTTTTCTATCTTGGTTGGTTGATTTTGTTTAACAGCATATCAACGTCTTAATTTCTGGCGTTTTTTGCTGGATTCAGAATTTTACTATTTCAAGATTGAATCCAAAGATAGTTGATATTTTTTTAGTAGATACATTGAATAGAAAATATGTTCAAAAAAGAATTTTAATTTTGACTGACCACACGTAAAATATTCAATTTTCTACTGTATCCTATAAGTGAAAACTGTAAAAATTATATTCGATAAGTGAAAACTGAGTCAAAATTGTATCCTATAAGTGAAAACTGTAAAAAATGGATTCGATAAGTGAAAAACTGTCAAAATTGTATTCGATAAGTGAAAAACTGTCAAAATTGTATTCAATAAGTGAAAACTGTGTAAAAATTGTATTGTTCGCTTTTGTCCACTGACCATCATTAGTTGATGCGTTCGATGGAGTAATCCAGTGATTTGACTGCTATAGTTGTGAGTTCAATACCTGGCCACAGCAGAAGCAAAAAAAAAAAAATTGGAGAGCTGAGTTACTATTACTAAAGGGAATTAACTGAAAATTGAAAAGGCATGGCACGTGGAACTAGAACAATCTAACCGAGTGGACTATATAATAGTTTCGGTTCGAAATTCCAACATAAATTCAGAAGTGTACAACGGGCGAAAATTCGTGAATATGACAATAAGTAATTAATAATAGTTCGAACAATGCAAAATAGTGTAAATAGTTACAATACCTAATCTCAGAAATATAGAGAGATCCTGAAGACCGGAACGTACAACGCCCGAAACGTTGTGAATATGGCAATAAAGATGAGAATAGCAGTCTGAATAATGCGAATAATGTAAATAGTTACAATATCTCGTCTCAGATGTATAGACACACACTTTTATAGTGTGAAGAAATTGAAATTGCTCTAATTGCGCTGATTTTGGACAAGCACGATTGCAGAGAGGAACTGAATGAGTCAAGTTTAAAGTACATTGTAAAATGACCAACTGCTTTAAAAATAGAATAAAAATAAATCCAAGAATTAAAATACGAAAACTGCAAAAAGATAGAAAATTTCTAAATTACTTGGATGGGGAATCATAGCTTATCAGTCGGAATTAAATTAAAATTTAAAAGATCTTGAGCGTAACTTGGGACTTAACCTCAACCCAGATTTCAAATGAAGCTCGTGCATCTGAACCCTCGCTCGAAAAAACAATGTTCGGTTCACTGTACGGCTTCAGTAAGTAACTAACTCCTAAAATCCTTCAACTTTGCAAGCGTCAAATCAAGTCGAAAATGGAGGACTGCTGTCATAATCGGACAATAACTCAGTTGTTACTTTCCAGTCTTGATAGATTTCTTAAAGCATCTCCGCGCCCTTGTGGGCGATGAAATATTTTCCACCCTACAATCCCTTTCTAGCAGACAAAATCTCTCAAGCCTCTCGCGGCTCTATCGCTATTTCCATGGAAAATGTTCAGATGAAATACATTCCTTAGTTCCAACACGTCTAACCTTTACGCCTAAACGCGCCATGATACACGCATTGTAGCGATCCATCCATAATATCTTCGTATTCCATTGGTGAGATGTAATTTCCACTCGAGCAGATCCTTCTTCTTTTTGAAGCCGACTCCCAAGAGGGTGCTTCTCCGATCACTACAATCTTGACCTGTTCAAATCTAGGGTTAACCGTTATCATCCCCACATATCTCCATAAACTGTTCCACTTACTCAATAACATTTTACCTCTTGTAACTCTCAAGTCTTGTACACAGAGTATCTAAAAAAATCTAAGTAAATGGAACATTCAAAAGACTTTATGGAATTCATAATGAAATGAATATGATTTCAACAGATCATCTACAGCAAGAAAAGTTGGTTCGTTGTGTCGCGTCAGAAGGTATTTTTCTCGCGTGTGTTCATCCTTCAAATCTCTAAATCTACCATTCGTCCTTGCATGAAAATGTTTTAAGAGAGATATTTCTTAAAAATTTAAAAGACTCGGTTAATAAATTCCGAATGCTTCCTTATAAGGAAACGACTAATATTTTTATTGAGCCTGCTTGGTCTCACGCTTTCCACTGTCCTGAGGTGGAACGACTACATTAAATCAATAGCTTTATCTCCTGCGAGGAAAGTTGGTACTCTGTGTCGTGCTAAAAGGTTTTTCTTACCTAAGTCCATTCTTCAATCTACAAATCTACCATTCCTCCTTGCATTGAATACTGCTGCCATATATGGTCTGGTATCCCTGCTGTTCATCTCGAGGTCCTCGATAAAATCCATAGACGTATATGTAATGTGCTAGGTCCTGATCTGGTATTTTGTCTACAGTCACTTTCCCAAAGACCTGGCTTCCCTCTGTCTTTTCTACAAGTATTTTCATCGCAAATGCTCCGATGAGCTACTTTCGCTGGTTCCCAAACTGCATGAATGAAACCTTTCTGCCTCCCATCAGAACGCTACTCTATGCGCCTGCTTGGTTTCACGCTTTCCACTGACCTGAGGCGGAACAAATACATTGAATCAATAGCTTCATCTACCGCAAGGAAAGTTGGTTTCTCTCGTCTGAGTCCATCATTCAAATCTATAGATCTACCATTCGTCTTTGCATTGAATACTTTTGCCGTATGTCGTCTGGTATTCCCGCTGTTCATCTCGAAGTCCTCGACAAAATCCAGAGACGAATATGCAATGTGATAGGTCCTGATCTGGAATCTCGTCTACAGTCACTTTCTCACAGACTTGATGTAGCTTCCCTCTGTCTTTTCTACTAATATTTTCATGGCAACTGCTCTGACGAGATACTTTCATGAATCTAAGCCTGCTACTAGGTTAACATCTTGGTCCCAGCCTTTCACTATCGAAACAGTTTAATGTAACCGTCTCTTCTACTCTAACAGCTTATTCTCTCGCACTTCCTGACAGTGGAACTTCCTTCCTCTTACTTGCTTCCATGATAGCGATAACCTTCAAAGACAAAATGTAATGTCAATCGACATCTTCTGATGCCTTGATCCTGATCCTCGTCCTTCTCTTTATCCTTTCCTCAAACACCCCCTCTTTATTCGTGCTCTCATTCTCTCTAATCCCTTGCGTGCTAGTGGCACTCTCGCCTTAACTGAGGGGAAATACTTAAAAAAGACGTATCTGCTTGGTGGTCCGAAATTCTTGTTACCCCTTCATAACATAATTTTCTATTTCAGTTGGCTAACACGAGCTCCTACACGAAAATACATGTGTCCATACAGACCTTCTCGATGTGTGAGAGCGTCAATGAAAGAGAATAAACCGAATCCAGTGCTTGTGCTAGGTATTACCGCATTATTTTTTCTTCTATTGATCTTATTACTTTTATGTGTGAGGGTGTCATGACTTTCGGACCACTCTATATAAGACCTCATTTCTCATTACTTCATACATTATTATAGTGGATACCCGTATTTGGAATAAAAGCTCCATTTTTATTTTATTTTA